AAGAGAAGGGAAGAGAAGGGAAGAGAAGGGAAGGGGGGGGGAGCCGGACTGGCGCGCAGGCAAGACACACAACAGATGGAGTCACCGCAAGAAAGAAAGAAAGAAAGACCGAACAACAAAAAACAAACAAACAAAAAGATGAAAGAAACATCACCTACCCGCCAACCAACGAGAAAACCGAAGCCAGTCAGAGAGCAAAAACAACAACAGCAACAATAACAACCACAGAAGGGAGTAGAGAGCATACACAACGTATGCGCTGCACTTATTCCTTCCTTCACCGAGAAACTCCATCCCATCGTCGCGTCTCTACGTGCTCCCTTGCCTCTCGGCGATTTCGACACTCTCTACGGTGGCATCTATCAGCTTCACAGCCGCCTCCGACATCAGCTTCGACGAGAGATGCTCTCGAAACGGAGCTAGGAACACAGCGTCCCGCCTCGACCTGTTAAGAATCAGACCAACAGACAGTTCCGCACCTCGAGCCTTGGCGACAGCCGCAGCGGCCACAGCAATCCGCTCATTCGGCGGCGCTGGCCCAACGGCCGCCAAGTACCGCTCGAGCTGATCGAACGGGATACAGTACCGCAGTGTCAGCACCATGCGCATTTCTCCATCTGTGACATGAATGCCTTCTACCGTGCAATCTACTGCCTCCCCGTCTCCCTGCTCGTCAAGGACGGTGCGGGGCAACGTGAAGGTGCTAAAGAATGAGGACGGTGGCACAACCACGAGGCTCTTGCTGCGATATAGCAGCATCCCAATAACGTACATCGCGGGGCGAAAGTGAGAGATCTGCGGAAGCTCATCACTCGCCTTGTGCCCCTTATCCATCGAGGACGATAGAATCGAGTTCCGCCGGGTCTCGTACACAACAGTGACGCAGCTAGGATGCACGCGGAGAAGGCAGCGCGAACAGATCTTCCACGCGCATACCATGCCTAACGTCGTCACCGCCAACGGGAGAAGCAGCGCGTTGTTCTTTTCGCACGTGAGGGCCGCCGCCTCCAAACGTGTGGCCACTCGCATAAGTAGAGCAATGGCTCTGCAGCGAAAAACCAAACAATGGCTCTAGGTCTGTGCGTGAGTGGAAAACAGTGAGGAGGAGGGAAAGAGAAAGAGAAAGAGAGAGAGAGAGAGATATATATAGAGAGAGAGAGAAGAAGGAGAGAGAAGGAGAAAGAAGGAGAAAGAAGGAGAAAGAAGGAGAAAGAAGGAGAAAGAGAGAAAATAGCGGAAATTAGAGCGGCCCGCAGTCGTTGCAGTGGTAGTGCCTGTGATCACAGTAAGATTATGGGCTCAAATCGTCTCGGCCTTACTTTCCCCTAACGGAGACAACTACAGAAAAGAGAGAGGGACAAAGTGGTATTATCATATTCTCTTCGATTTGTATGGATTTCCCCCTCCCCAAAGGCCCTCCAATAATCAATCTATTCCCGAGACAATCATATTTTAACGTTTTCCCACTTACGAAAAAAGGCCGTGCTGGGGGGCGTCCTTAACCCCGCCTCCCGCGCGGGAGGGTTCGAGTTGACTGGGCCTTCTCAAGCCTGCGCTTGGCAGCCCGCTGTATGAGATCAATAATGGCATGGGAGTGAAGTTAATACAGCATAACCGTAGGCCCAGACCATTCTTGTCGCAAGCTCAGAACCCCCCCCCCAAAAAAAAAACAACAACATATGAATCCTCAGCGTCGACAGGACATTTGTAGGCTCTGCACTCTAAAACGGACGAATTGCGGCCAATTCCGCCGCTGTGAATGGGGTGGCGTTGTGCTGCACGCCCCTCCTCGTCATCAGGGCGAGGATACTATTCACCGCCACGCCGTACGTCGGCGTGTGGACCTCGGTGAGCAAACCGAAGCGACGATATGCCTCCATCGCGGTCTCCCGCATCTCCAGCTGTGCAGAGAGTCGCCGCTCCTCGGCGTCCTCCGGGGCGCGGCGGCGGATGCGTTCCAGTCGGATGCTCTCGTCCACCTGCAGCAGCGCCCCCACGTCGAACGTCGGCAGATCTCGCGGCCACTGGTACACCGCGTCACCGACCGGTGGCAGCGTCGCCTTCACGCAGCGATTGGCGAGCGCCATCGCGCAGGTGCTACACCACCAGCGGTCAAACACGATGAAGCGACGCTGCCCAGTCGCGTGCAGGGCCTCCCACGCGGCCAAGTAGTTTGCCGCGCTGTAAAATGCACGTGAGGTGTCTTCGTCTTGCGCGCGGAAGATCTCACGAAGGTCGTGCAGCGCGGGGTCGGGGGTGCGCAGCAGCTCCGCCGATGCCCCGAGGCGGTCCACGAGTGACTGCGTCACGAGCGACTTGCCAACACCATCGAGGCCCTCCACGACGAGCAACACTTTGCTGCGCGGCGCGGCAGCAGCAGGATCATCGGCGCCAGTGGGCGGCAGCCGCTCCACGCGCCGCAAGAAATCTGTACAGGCAGGCGTCCACCAAGCGGGGCGCCGCTGCTCAACGGTACGCAGGACCCCCACGCACGCCGCCCTGCTGCTGTACACGCTGCTCACCATGTTTCGTTTCACTCCAGTGCAAAACGCACGCGTGTGTGTATGTATATGTATGTGTATGTATATGTATGTGTATGTATATGTATGTGTATGTATATGTATGTGTGTATCAAAAAACTGGGAGAAAATGGGAGACATACTCGTACACCTACACGGGTTCATTCTGGGATGCGGAGGAGCACCCATCAACCAACATGTGGGACCTCACATTCCCCTCATTCAATGTATCTCGCAGTATCGTTGTTTCTTTCTCCCTCTCCCTTGATTCCGTGCAGCACTCAAAGGAGGATCCAGTTGCCACAGTAAAGATGGTTCGACTGTGGGTAAGGGTGCTGCACAAACCACCGTGACGGCGCCACGACGCGGCGAAGCGGACGCGTGTTGAGGTAGGCTGCCCACCACGACCACGACGAGTTCGCCATGACCACATCATCACAGGAGGCCAGCATCAGCAGCTCCAGCACCTCCCTCGGCGCGTGGCTGTCGCACGCAAACGCCACGCGCTCCGCGGTGGCACAAACCAGGGACACCTCGAGGCCGGCATACTTGCTGCGGAAGTAGCCGACAACAGACGCGCCGTAGCGTTCGTCCTCGCAGAAGACAAGAACGTGAACGCCACGCTGCCCCATCGACTGCTGCTGCAGACGGCGGCCTAGTAGCTGCCGCACCGCTGCGTCGTAGTAGTCGACCTCCAGCGTCGCGAATACATCACGCATGCGCAGGTAATCGCCGCGGCGAATGTGCAGGCCGACGTACTGCAGACCGCTGGGGTCACCATAGTTGTCCTGCAGGTGCTTGGCCGCCGCATCCCACAGCCTCGCGGGGACGACATCCCGCACGATGGGGTGATCGGCAAAGAACGCCTCGGACTGGAAAAAGCCCACCATGTTGTATAAGCAGCGCACCGACGCGTCCACCACGACTGGCGCCGCGGGTCGCCGCTCCGGCACGATGACTTCCGGCACGCCACTGGGGACGTCGCCACTCACGCCGCACGCCTCAAGTGACTCGAAGATGGACTGCCAGTAAACGGGCCGCGGCTGCTCGTTGCTGCTGCTGCTCGACAGGCGCTGCAGCACAGCAGGAACATTATTACGCTTAGAGGCGGCGATCAGGTTGGCAACGAGGAAAAGCTGGTTGCCCAGTCCGCCCACCAGGTTCGTTGTCAGGCACGCCCTACTACACATGTTGTGCTGGCATAGATGCAAGAGCGTGTGAGTGCGAGGAAGGGAGAGAGAAAAAGAGAAAGAGGGATAAGGTGCGTGTCTGTGTGGCTGTGGGATTCCAGATTCACAACCGTATTGTATCTCGCTCTGTGTGTGTGTGTGTATATCCACGTGCTAGGTGAAGAAGCAACGATACACAAAAGACCTGCGCCCACGCGCGCTTGCCATCCCACGCGTGCACTAGCGTTCACACCCATCTTCGCCCCGTACGGCGACCGTCGCGGCACCGTGACGCTGCCGAGCGACGACGACAGAAGCAGCAGCAGCTGGGATATCACAGAGACACCCGCCCAACGTGTGGAAGAACACCACACACAACGAAGACAATGCGGCAGCACCCACCTCCCGCAAAGACCATGCAGTTTGTATTCGCAAGGCTGCGTGCTGCGAATGACGCGGCGGAGTGCCTCACTGCCGCTCGCCGGCAACACAACAGTCCTGCAACTCAAAAGAGTAGTCATTCCACAGGCGCACACAACTCCAGCCGCGCCCTCGTGTCCGCTGCGACCGCATGGAATGTGTCTTACATCAGGAACGCCTTTTCCGTAGCACTGTGGCTGCATCACTTTCATAACGGCGTTGCCTTCTGACACGTCTGTGCCCGCCGCTGCCAGTGCGCCATGGACACTGCCCACCTCACTCCTTCCTTGTGNTGACACGTCTGTGCCCGCCGCTGCCAGTGCGCCATGGACACTGCCCACCTCACTCCTTCCTTGTGCAAGCGACGGCATCGGCGAGGCCGATTCCGTCCGCTGGAATTCGGCATGTCTGTCTGCGCGGTGCAAATATAAGGCGGTGACAATGCGAACCAGAGAAAGACAGAGCGTAGAGAGACGCGCAGAACAAACGGCGAAGGGGAGTCAAGAAGTGGCAAAGCGACTGGAAGCAGACAGGAAACATCTTTATAGAGTGCAACACGACCGCAGCGACAAAAACGCCATCGGCTACCCACTGAATCATAAGTGAATAATAAATGACATGCATCCCCACCACTTACCACTTTCTTTTCTTTCTTT